TTCTGATCTGCTAGGAACCAGGCAAAGTTTCCTCAGGCCAATGAAGATGGAGCCAAAAGACACATACGAAGCTATTTCTTTTAGATTTGTAGGAAGAGAGACCTGTATTGGAGAGAAGCAAACAACCAGTTGGATAGGCCCTGGGCTTTTCAGATTCTAATCATACCCACATCAATGCTCATGGTTAACACATTGACTTGATACACACATAACATTAAGCCATGGTTTAACAAACTAGGAGATAACAACAGGTCACCTCAGAAGCAATCAAACAAACCATGGCTTGTTTCTCCAAATTTGTGTTTTGTTTATCAACTTGTAGCGCCTCGTGTCTTTGTAGCAATCTTTGTGATCACCTAGGGTAGGATAGGGGACATGGGTGGTGCTGTGGGTTAAACCACAGAGCCTAGAACTTGCCGATCAGAAGGTCGGTGGTTCGAATCCCCATGACGGGGGTAAGCTCCTGTTGCTCGGTCCCTGCTCCTGCCAACCTAGCAGTTCAAAAGCACGTCAAAGTGCAAGTAGATAAATAGGTACCGCTCCAGCGGGAAGGTAAACAACATTTCCGTGCGCTGCTCTGGTTCACCAGAAGCGGCTTAGTCATGCTGGCCACATGACCCGGAAGCTGTACACCGGCTCCCTCGGCCAATAAAGCGAGATGAGCGCCGCAACCCCAGAGTCGGCCACGACTGGACCTAATGGTCAGGGGTCCCTTTACCTTTACCTTTACTAGGGTAGGATAGCCAACCAAACCATGGTTAAGGAAGTGTGATGGGTTCACACATAATGCCACACCATAGTTAAAACAAACCAAGGTTTTTAAACCGAGAACAAACCATAAAGCGATCAAATAACCATGGTTTAATAATGTTATGTGTTACCACATTAGTGTCATGTGTGAACCAGGCTATTTAGTTCACAGAGTAGCTTTAAAGGGTTTGCTTGAATAGAATCTCCTTTCTTTTAGTTAAAACGCTTTCATTATACGATCGTACTTACTTAAGCCATGGCTGATACAAATTGTGCTTCCTTTATGAACCATGAACTGAAATCAATGTAGGAGTGGATTTGCAAGCATTGGCTACAAGTTAACCATAATTGGCATAGAAGCACATGTAACATGAAACCATGAATAGCAATGGCAATAGAAGAGATCAGAAAAACACATTGGAGGAGGTTCTGGGATGGAGTACATAAACCTGCAGGCCACTCTCAATCTTTTGATTTGTTTTAAGAGATTTTCAGGAGTAGAATGGGCTTGAAGAATATTGGCACACTTCTCTTGTCACAGAGGATGAAAATGGAGAGCATGTGACAAATGGGGTTGCTGAAGGTATCCACATAAACTCACACAGACCGCACAATGAACAAGAGACATGTAAATAAAACATGTTCCGTGACGTTTTTGTGCTTTAAGGTATTTCAGACAGCGCTTTACGTTTTTCTGATGTTTCCTTAACCTGATAACTTCCATCTTTTATATGATTTGTCACATGACATAAAAGCCAATTCTGAGAATCTAGCGGAAGTTTAGGAGAGTTCATTACCATGTTCATTGCTTCCAGGGGATGAAGAAAATCTTTTGCAACCCCGTTAACTTGGAAAATTGCAGTTTTGTATCTGTAATTTTGCAAGACGAAAAAGGGGACAGCGTATAGTTCTTTCCTGCTATTTGAAATTGAGTGTGACTTGGCAGCATATCGGTCAGAAAGCAATAATGCAACATGTAATGTGGTGTAAAAGGAATATTAGATAATCAGGATAGAAGCGCTAACATTATAACTAAGAAAACAAATGCAATGAACCTCATGTCTGAATACAGCCAGATTCCCACTCCATGGCATTGGCTGTTGCTTCCAGGATCAGGAAAACTTGGGATATGATGATAACATTTCACATATTTTTATTTACAGTCATACCTCATGTTACATTTGCTTCACATTACGTTTTTTCAGGTTGCGTCCTGCGGCGACCCGGAAGTACTAGAAAGGGTTACTTCCGGGTTTCACCGCTCGCGCATGCACACAAGCACCAAATCGCCCTTTGCACCTGCGCAGATACAGCGCTTCAGGTTGCGGGCTTTTCATGTTGTGAACGGGCTTCCGAAACGGATCCTGTTCGCAACCAGAGGTACCACTGTACTAGAAATTACAGAAGAGAAAGAGACATGAGGTTACGGCTCACAGTGACAGCTAAGTGTCCCCTGTAACCTCCAATTCTGCCCTAAGTGGCATCTCTGACCTTGGAAGACATCTTTGAGATGTCTCTTTTTGTACCTGTTTTCCCAGGGATACCTTGTACCCGCTGAGTATTCACTGTGCCAAAAGACACAACGAGTGTTTTCGAAGCTATTGCACCAGGAAACCAATTCTTTATAATTTATATAAGATATTGTTTAGTCGTTTAGTCATGTCCGACTCTTCGTGACCCCATGGACCAGAGCACGCCAGGCACTTCTGTCTTCCACTGCCTCCCGCAGTTTGGTCAAACTCATGCTGGTAGCTTCGAGAACACTATCCAACCATCTCGCCCTCTGTCGTCCCCTTCTCCTTTTGCCCTCCATCTTTCCCAACATCAGGGTCTTTTCCAGGGAGTCGTCTCTTCTCATGAGGTATTGGAGCCTCAGCTTCACGATCTGTTCTTCCAGTGAGCGCTCAGGACTGATTTCCTTAAGAATGGATATAGAAGATACCTGACCTGATTATGACCCAGTTCAGTTAGCCAGGCTGTGGCAGTCTTCAAATAGTGGAGGCCAAGCATAGTGTGACTCCTGCTACCATGTACATAATCACATGTGTGATGTGAAGCCTCATAAAATGGCACCCTGCTTCTTCCTCCTCCCTCATAAAGGAAAAGGGAGATTATGTGCATGGAACTTTATGTGCCCTGGGGGAATGCTTTCAGTGCATATTAATTTAGATTTATGTAGAATGGAAGTGGCAATCATCAATTCATCATACAAAACAAACTGCTATTATCCAAGTAAATACCTGAGCTGGTCTACTTAATCTCAGATGTGGTTTTTAGCTTTCCCATGTTCTGTTCTTGTTAACATCTCATTTATGGTACAGAAGAAAAACTACAATTCCCTTATGTCAATTACTGGAGCAGTTCCATGCTGACTTACTCACCTCTTAAATCAACAGTGCATTTGGCCTCTTGTATTTTCTGCACCACAGCAAAAGAGTATGCAGAAACCTTCATCAATATTAAACAGAATCGACACAGCCACTGCCAAAATATGCTCTTCAATCCATGCAGTTCTTGGACTGGGACAAGCATCCTGGAAAACTACAATGAAGATCACTGTTTCTCTCAACCATTGTCATTCCACATGGTCTGTTTTCCTGGAAACTCTCCCTTTCCAATGTCGTCTCCAGATTCCATTGTTGGTTTCCATTGTTATTTAATTTTGGACTTGGAAGGGGAGAAATGAGATGGCAGAAACATAAAGGAGTATCTTCATCTGTTTTGCACATGGAGGGGAAAATGCACAGACAATGCTCATCTACCCATCAATAGGATCATTGTGCTACGATTCATTCAGGAAATTATTCCTGGGACTACTACAATAAACAATATGGAAATCTTTCAGTGAACACTATGAAATTCACTACCACAAGATGTCATGATGGCTGCCAATTTGGACAGCTTTCAAGGGGGATTAGACAATTCGTGGAGAATAAAGCTATCAAAGGCTGCTAGTAAAGATGGCTATATATTTACCAACAGTGTAAATATGCCCCTGAATGCCAATAGTTGGGGAACCCCACCAGGAGAGGACTCATGTTCTGCTTGTTGGCTTCCTGAAGAATCTGGCTGACCACTGAGCAGAGCTCAGGATGACCCAGACTTCGACTTCTTGAGGGTGCCTGGGGAGGGAAGCACACATATTCCAAGCAACAATTTGTTCCTTAACATGTTACAGGAGTTACAGTTAAGTTTATGTCGCAGCTCCACCCAACGTGTAGATTTGGCTCTTTCAGAGTAATAACACCACCAGTGCCCACCATATGGTGGTTTATGTCTTTTTCTTTGTAGAACAAAAGTGTTTAGAATCTTGGTACTGTTTTGGGGGGACAGGGGGCGGGTAGGTGTGGAGGACTCCCTAGTCCTGAATGGGGTAACTGTGCCCCTGAAGGACCAGGTGCGCAGCCTGGGAGTCATCTTGGACTCACAGCTGTCAATGGAGGTGCAGTTTAATTCTCTGTGCAGGGCAGCTGTCTACCAGCTCCATCTGGTACGCAGGCTGAGACCCTACCTGCCCGCAGACTGTCTCGCTGGAGTGGTGCATGCTCTGGATATCTCCGGGTTGGACTACTGCAATGCGTTCCACGTGGGGCTACCTTTGAGCACAATTCAAAGTGTTGGTGCTGACCTTTAAAGCCCTTGTCCTTTAAAGCCCTTGTCCCAGTATACCTGAAGGAGCATCTCCACCCCCATTGTTCTGCCCGGACATGGAGGTCCAGCTCCAAGGGCCTTCTGGCGCTTCCCTCACTGCAAGAAGCAAAGTTACAAGGAACCAGGCAGAGGGCCTTCTTGGTAGTGGTGCCCGCCCTGTGGAATGGCCTCCCATCATGTCAAGGAAATAAACAACTATCTGACTTTTAGAAGACATCTGAAGGCAGCCCTGTTTAGGGAAGTTTTTAATATTTGATGTTTTATTGCTTTATTCTTATTCTGTTGGGAGCTGTCCAAAGTGGCTGGGGATGATGATGATGATGATGATGATGATGATTATGGTTCCATCTCACTGTGCATTTTGCTTTTTTCTGCTTCACAGGTCTTCTACCTACTGGCTGAACCGCATCCAGTCCTTTCTTTACTGCAATGAGAATGGCCTCCTGGGCAGCTTTTCTGAAGAGACTCACTCATGCACGTGCCCAAATGACCAGGTCGCCTGCCTTGGCTCCTTGCCCTGCTCTGTGGGAGATGGTTCTGCCTGCTTATCCTGCGCCCCTGACAACCGTACCCGCTGTGGGACCTGTAACACCGGGTATATGCTGAGCCAAGGCCTTTGCAAGCCTGAGGTGGCAGACTCAACGGAGCACTACATTGGGTTTGAGACAGACCTCCAAGATCTGGAGATGAAGTATTTATTGCAGAAAACGGACCGCCGGATTGAGGTCCATGCAATCTTCATCAGCAACGACATGCGTCTCAATAGCTGGTTTGACCCTTCCTGGCGCAAAAGGATGCTCCTTACTCTGAAGAGCAACAAGTACAAATCCAGCCTGGTCCATATGATCTTGGGTCTCTCTCTCCAAATTTGCCTAACAAAGAACAGCACCTTGGAGCCTGTCCTGGCTGTTTACGTCAACCCTTTTGGAGGCAGCCACTCCGAGAGTTGGTTTATGCCTGTCAATGAAAACAGTTTCCCAGACTGGGAGCGGACTAAACTGGACTTACCGCTTCAGTGTTATAACTGGACGCTGACTCTAGGCAACAAGTGGAAGACCTTTTTTGAAACGGTCCACATCTACTTGAGGAGTCGTATTAAGTCGAATGGTCCCAATGGCAATGAAAGCATCTATTATGAACCGCTGGAGTTTATCGATCCCTCCCGCAACCTGGGCTACATGAAAATCAACAACATCCAAGTGTTCGGCTACAGCATGCACTTTGACCCGGAAGCAATCCGGGACCTGATTTTGCAGCTGGACTACCCTTATACTCAGGGATCCCAGGACTCTGCTCTCTTGCAACTACTAGAGATAAGGGACCGTGTAAATAAACTCTCTCCACCCGGTCAACGTCGTCTAGACCTTTTCTCATGCCTGCTGCGTCATAGACTCAAGCTGTCTACCAGCGAGGTGGTGAGAATTCAGTCTGCTTTGCAGGCCTTCAATGCCAAATTGCCAAACACAGTGGATTATGACACAACCAAATTATGTAGTTAACCATAAGTGTGAAGCACAACAGAAAAAATAAAAACCATGACGGAGTTTTTACAGTGCTTTTGTGGAACAGTTTATGTTTGGAAGAGTACATTTAAATTGTCTTTTCAATATCTGTCTTATATCAGTCAATAACGTTGGATGGCAATTTACACCCATGAACTCGCTGACAAATGAATATATTATACCTGCAAATTTTTTTTGGCTTTGTTTTATGAATGAAAATAAATACTGACACCAGTCTAGGAGACATTCTACTTTTTACAATAAATTTCATTTGTAATTTTATATGTTCCGTGGCAATGCTTTTGTGCATTACATCCTCTAGAGGGAACATAAAAGGATACCAATAAAATTTTGTAGCTGAACAGTTATTAAAAAGAAACGCTGTGGGATTCATTATTTTCCCCTCTCAAAAAAAAAAAAAATGAAAAAAATGAATAGCATCCTTGATATTGCATTTCTGACCAGAAAGGGGTGGTGGACAAGATAGAGGTATTTGGTTTTGATACAGAAGCCAGCCAAGACAAATCTAAAAAGTTATAACATAAAATTATTCTGTAGAACTTGAGCCATCTGCCTGTTCCCATTTTATTTAACAGGATTTAGGCACCATTTAATCACCAAAACCTCTAAGTAATTTACAATATATATATATATATACATTAAAATGATAGATAAATTCAGATGTTAAAAACAAGTCAGCCTCAAAAATGGCAAAATAAAATCAGGTACTAATATCATTGGGCAGGGAGTTTCAAAGTGTAGAGGCTGCCACACTAAAGGTTCCATTCCTTGCATGTGTAAAATCAAAATTATACAGCACTTGTGAAAGTGCCGTTTCTGCAGACAGGAGTGGTCAGGTGGGTATTATGGGGCAAGGCAATATACTTAATGATGGATTGCTTGCCTAAGAAACTTGAAAAGGGCCTTGTCTTTTTCAGTATGCTGTGCCGAGTTGTACGTATGGCTCAAGTGGCTATATTTTCCATCGTGGGGAAGACTAGAAAGCTTGTGCTAATCTCACATGGGATACAATAAGAATGGCAGTCGGGCAATTTCCTCCCAGAATGAAACAGGGTAATCCAGGGCTCTGGTGAACACAAAGAGGCTCTGATATACACCCATAGGCTACCTTTTCCTGGTTTAGCCAGTCAGTCGAAGCCTTTTCCCAAGGTGTAGCCACTGTCACATGATGACAGCTTCTAGGAGCCACAGGTGAGAGCAGAGTGGGGACCAAGGTGGACAAATTATGCCAGAAGGAGTACAACATTTCCCCCACCAGACATGCTACTCTTCCCTTAGTACACCATACACACTGTAATATGGTTGGGAATACCATGGCTATACCAGAGAAATACATGACTTTTGAGTATTCTCGTGTGTCAAATAAAAACCTGCTCAAATTGTACCAGAACATGAGCTCCCATTGGCACTATACATTTAAAGCAGTCTCATACCACTTTAAACAATTGTGAATTCATACCCTCCAACATGTTGACTCTGTGAGAACACAGAGTCCAAAAGAGGTGCTTTTTTGAGGCTGTGAATTTTGGGATGCTGCATGAATTCACAGGCCAGAATAAATGTGGGGTTTTTGGGGGGAGGGGGGGCGAGCTCTCAGTGCAAAATTGCACAATGTCACAGTGCCCAAAATGGCCACAGTGCTCTTGCGGGGGAAAACAGCTACTTGCGGGATGTGGTATATTCTCCCAAACTCTATTGTCCCAAACTCAGAGCTGTTCCACCAGGCCTTTGGGCCAAGGCACAGTCTGACCCCCTCCTTTGGTAATCCTCACAGAACTCTAGCCCAATGGTCACCATTAATTTGATTTTGAATTGATTTGAAAATGAATTAATGTTAGAATGCTGTGTTACTTTTATTGTTGTTAGCCGCTCTGAGCCCGGCTTCAGCTGGGGAGGGCGGGATATAAATAATTTATCACTATTACTATTATTATTATTATTATTATTATTATTATTATTATTTGGCTAACAGTGCTAGGAATAGTTAGGTGCTCCCCTCACAGAAATACAATTTCCAGAGATACCTGGGAAGCAGGATTGATCGTTACAATGAATTCACTCTGAGAAGTGTAACTCTGTGAGCAGATTAGGGAATTTTAAACATTCATTCATGTAGTCCCCAGAATTCTTTGGGGGAAACCATGTCTGCTTAAAGTAGTATTATACTGCTTGAAAAGTACAGTGCATATGGGACCGTTTGGATGTGTAGTCAACAGAGGCACCAAGTTGCCACCAAGATTGAGGAAGCCAGATATGTGTCGAGTGCATGTGATGTCACACGCACAATGTCACATCATCTGGCGGTTCCCTCACTGCGAGAAGCCAAGTTACAGGGAACCAGGCAGAGGGCCTTCTCGGTAGTGGCGCCTTCCCTGTGGAACACCCTCCCACCAGATGTCAAAGAGAACAACAACTACCAGGCTTTTAGAAGACATCTGAAGGCAGCCCTGTTTCGGGAAGCTTTTAATGTTTGATGTATTATAGTATTTTAATATTCTTTTGGAAGCCGCCCAGAGTGGCCAGGGAAGCCCAGCCAGATGGGCGGGGTATAAATAATAAATAATAATAATAAATTATAAATTATTATTATTATTATTATTATTATTATTATTATTATTATCTGAAGGAAGCCGAGCACTCTGCCTCCTTCATCCATCCAGAGCAAGTCAGGCAATTGATCGCCATTGTTGGAGATGAAGTCAGTCAAAAACATTACCAGAAACGTAAGGAAGCAGTCAGTATGCCTGGAAATCTTTTTATGCAGTGTGCAAAGGCAGTTAGTTGCAAAAGTGAATGCCAGCTTGCAACCTGAAGCTTGTGCTCAGTTTATTCATACAGTTAAATCATTTCTATGCATCTAATATGACATGAAGAAGCACTAGGCAGAATGCCCATCACATTTCCCCTTGATCATGGATGAACTTTTCCCAGTGGTTTCAATCATGAATCTGTCAATATGCAACTTGGTGTTCATGCTAGTGTTCATGTGGAGAAAATGAGTGGGAAAATATCTAGGGTTCAACAGAATTCTTTCAATTTCCCTCCAAAAACCCTCAGAAGATTTGCCTGAGGGGACATCTAAAAAAATGCTTCAGATTTTACAGTCACAACCTCAACAATGTGTGTCCCTCCCTCTCCCCCCACCACTCAGAAGAAATATAAACAATTGCAACATTTCTGCCACTCTCAAAATTCTTCAGTAGCTGTGCCTAAAGAAGTAGTGCCAAATCCATTTTAAATTTCATTTAACAACAGTTCATTGATAACAGATCTTTAGTCCCTTGTCTGCCCCTTGGCTTTTTTCCTGAAGACCACTATTTTGAAATTACAATTTGACAACCCTACTTGCTGTTGCTCTTCACTGCCTCCAGAGAGCTCCTTATACCTCAAGCAAACCCATATTTTTGAAAACTCAAGGCGGCACCGACGGCAGGTTGCTTGGGCACATAATTCTGCCTTCCCAGAAAGTATGATAAATTATGTCAATGATAAATCTTCCACATGGGTGACAATAGGACCCGTCTGATGAAATGATGAACTAATAGGGATGCAACCCTGGATTCATAATGCATGGTTTGATTTATTCATTTAACATTTCTCTGATGAAAACAGGGACGTCCTATTCAACAATAATAATAATAATAATAATAATAATAATAATAATATTTATACCCCACCTATTTGACTGGGTTGCCCCAGCCACTCTAGGTGGCTTCCAACATATATACAGTGGTACCTCTGGTTGCGTACTTAATTCGTTCTAGAGGTCCGTTCCTAACCTGAAACTGTTCTTAACCTGAAGCACCGCTTTAGCTAATCGGGCCTTCTGCTGCTGCCACGCCGCCACCGCACAATTTCTGTTCTCATCCTGAAGCAAAGTTCTTAACCCGAGGTATTATTTCTGGGTTAGCGGAGTCTGTAACCTGAAGCATATGTAACCTGAAGCGTATGTAACCCGAGGTACCACTGTACAAACATAATATAACATTAAACATTACAAAAACTTCCCTATACAGGCTGCCTTCAGATGGGCATTGGAATTCAAGAATATCTGGAGAGACACACTTTAACAGCCCCTGATTTAAAATACAGTGGTACCTGGGTTTAAGAACAGCTTGTTTATGAACAACTTGGATTACGAACGCTGCAAACCCTGAAGTAGGTATTTTGGTTTGTGAACTTTGCCATGCAATAAGAATATGTTTCGCTTCCTGTTGAGTGTGTTCCATTTGTAAATTGAGTCCCCCGCTGCTATGGGAAAGCAAGCCTTGGTTTAAGAACGCTTTGGTTTAGGAACGGACTTCTGGAACAGATTAAGTTCATAAACCAAGGTACCACTGTACTAATATCTTGTCTGTCGGTTGCAAAGATTCTTAAGAGAACTCGCAATGGCAGCTTTTGTCATGATCCAATCTCACCCACGGACTTCTTTTTTTTAAAAAAACAAGCCTTGGTTGTACAATATATTTTTATTGGAAGTCAGAGGTGAATATGTGTGTGTACATTTCAAAAGTGAGTCAAAAGCTCTGCCTGCGGCTCCATGTAAGACAATGGGACTTTGGGAGATTTTGCCTTTGACTGGAGTCACTTAACAGGTCTGCTCTTACAAGGACGTCTCCGACATGCCTCTCTCTCTCTCCGTACACACACAATTCTGCAGCTATGTTGTCAACTGCAGTTGCGAAGGCAAGCTTGTTTCTTTAGAGCATTTACAGTTCTTTGTTCCACAGAAGTTCAGCGAGTTCATTCATTTCTCTTTGGGATTGAAGATTTTGAAACAAAGCCAGCGTTGCTCAAAGATGTGAGTTTGACAGTCCCAGAAATCAAATGGCGATGTTCTAGTGGGGGGAGGGGGGCTGAAGACCAGAACAGACAGGTGAGTGGTGAACATTTATACTCGGGTGTAAGAAAAGAGATGGATCTCAATTGTCATTCAGTATTTATGTTTCTCAAATAATTGAAGGCAAGCCCTAAAG